TATATATATAAATTAAATATTGAGAGAAATATACAATATAATATCATATTACATGGATATACAATTTACTGTAAGCACTGTAATATATATTTGTATTTTGTATTGTAATTACAATACAAATTACAAATATATACAGTATATTACACTACTTACAAATTACTGTAGGTTGTAATAAAATTCTGTATGTATTAAGTGATAAATGTATTAAGTACATAGTTGTTCTCATTTCGCTGTAAAGTTACAGAGCACTTAATATTGTTGCCAGAAGAATTTTAGAGATCAATTATGTATGAAAAAAATCAGGTCACTGTTTTGCTGAGGCATAAGCTTCAGAAAAGAGGCAGAAGAATATATATATATATATTAGAAACACTGCCACTAGTGATCTTTTGGTAATAACATTCTGTACATATAAAAGATGATAAATGTATTTATATATATATATATATATATATATATATATATATATACTCGCATTTGCAAAGTTTTTACTCGTAATTAGCTAGTAAATTTTACTATTACAAAGAAGCAGCAAGGAACACACTGAATTAAACCTGAAATTCCAAAGTAGAAAAAAGCTAAAATGGTATATACTTGTAAAATGTACTACAATAATCTTTGTTTTATTTGAAACTTCAAAAAATTTGAAGTGTACAAGTGAGACTTTAAGCTAGTCCCTTTATTACACTACTTACAAATTACTGTAGGTTGTAATAAAATTCTGTATGTATTAAGTGATAAATGTATTAAGTACATAGAAATATAATATGCAGTATATGCAGTAATATCATATATTACATATACAAATGACTGTAAGTACTGTAATATTTTATTTATATACATATATCTACAAATTACTGTAAGTAGTAAGCTTCTCTACAGCTAAGCAACCATTTTCCTGTGTGTTTCCTTTGAAAAAAATGGCCTGTATGTAATTTCTAAGAACTGTCTTATTTAGGATATGTATCTTAACGTGTTTTGCCATCATTCCCATTATTTCCTCCTAATGTGTGTGTCTGATACTCCTTTATATGTTATGAACTATATGTGATAAGTGTAAGAATTACACTGTAACATTTTTTTTTTTTTAAGTTGTTAATAACAGAGTATTGCAGTGCTTTTTACAAGAAAATATTATTTCAGGTTTTACCTCAAAATCTTTGTTAAAGATACTGTATATGCTTCAGTACCGTGGAGAGCGGCCTCGCGGCGTTTGAGGTCAGTGAGTGTGAAGGAATGAAGTCTCGCGAGTATAGAGGCCCCACGATCTGATGTATTCAGCATCACACACACTCACAACACACTCATCCCTGAGCGTGAAGGAATGAAGTCTCGCGAGTATAGAGGCCCCACGATCTGATGTATTCAGCATCACACACACTCACAACACACTCATCCCTGAGCGTGAAGGAATGAAGTCTCGCGAGTATAGAGGCCCCACGATCTGATGTATTCAGCATCACACACACTCACAACACACTCATCCCTGAGCGTGAAGGAATGAAGTCTCGCGAGTATAGAGGCCCCACGATCTGATGTATTCAGCATCACACACACTCACAACACACTCATCCCTGAGCGTGAAGGAATGAAGTCTCGCGAGTATAGAGGCCCCACGATCTGATGTATTCAGCATCACACACACTCACAACACACTCATCCCTGAGCGTGAAGGAATGAAGTCTCGCGAGTATAGAGGCCCCACGATCTGATGTATTCAGCATCACACACACTCACAACACACTCATCCCTGAGCGTGAAGGAATGAAGTCTCGCGAGTATAGAGGCCCCACGATCTGATGTATTCAGCATCACACACACTCACAACACACTCATCCCTGAGCGTGAAGGAATGAAGTCTCGCGAGTATAGAGGCCCCACGATCTGATGTATTCAGCATCACACACACTCACAACACACTCATCCCTGAGCGTGAAGGAATGAAGTCTCGCGAGTATAGAGGCCCCACGATCTGATGTATTCAGCATCACACACACTCACAACACACTCATCCCTGAGCGTGAAGGAATGAAGTCTCGCGAGTATAGAGGCCCCACGATCTGATGTATTCAGCATCACACACACTCACAACACACTCATCCCTGAGCGTGAAGGAATGAAGTCTCGCGAGTATAGAGGCCCCACGATCTGATGTATTCAGCATCACACACACTCACAACACACTCATCCCTGAGCGTGAAGGAATGAAGTCTCGCGAGTATAGAGGCCCCACGATCTGATGTATTCAGCATCACACACACTCACAACACACTCATCCCTGAGCGTGAAGGAATGAAGTCTCGCGAGTATAGAGGCCCCACGATCTGATGTATTCAGCATCACACACACTCACAACACACTCATCCCTGAGCGTGAAGGAATGAAGTCTCGCGAGTATAGAGGCCCCACGATCTGATGTATTCAGCATCACACACACTCACAACACACTCATCCCTCGCGGAACGGATGCTCATCTCCGCGCGTGCGTGTGTAGGAGTGCCGTGACGTGACTTTTTTCACTCCCATATTCCCAGTATCGTCTCATAAGCATAACGGATTTGGAAAACATCACCATCACAAGTGCATCGATCATTGAATGGAAAGTGGGTTTATTAGATGCGAGTGGGCGCGTGCATCGGCAACATATTATTGGGTGAGCGCTCGAGAAGGTAAGGGGAACGGTTTTCAGCCATGCTTTTCACTTTCTCACCCGTGTTTTTCACATGTATGCATTCAGAACAGATGTGTTGTGTCTTATTTACATGGAAAATCAGAAATACGTGCGATCTTAGCTTGCACTGTTGAATAAAACGCCTCCCCGTTCAGCACCATCTTTTCGCTTGAAGGGCGCTCTGCTCTGCTCGACCTCGATCCGCTCTGAAGTGAGTCCAAATGTTTTAGCTAAATATTCTCTTGCTTTTGTTTTCTCCATCTCGCGTTTTATAATGATACCTCCCATTTGGATGAATGGAATATAACGTTATGGCAACTAGATTATCATTTCATATCTATGTACCACCCTGGCGACATGCCCGTCACATTGCAACCGGGTTTGGCTAGATCCGAGCGAGAAAAACCGACCTGCAATCGGTTGATAATAATCGCTGCGAATAAATGGTTGATAATAATCGCTGCGAATAAACGCCACATAATAAATAATTAAACGTGTAGTCGCTAAGAATAAACGTTTGTGAATATTCGCTACAAACGGTTTATAATAATCGCTACCAAACGACTCGTTAAATGTTCGAATTGTTCGAATCATTCTTTATTCGATTAACTCTAATCGTGTCGTCTTGACAGATGAATACGGTCAAATAATGGAGGATTCAGTTACCAGGCCTCATAAACCTGTATTCCTTATTAATTTCGAACAGCAAATGAGAGGTAATGATAATAACAATCCACAGTTACAGTGTGACAATCACTATTTTTCATGTTTGAAAATATTCCAATATTACTCAGAATTTAGCAATATTACATTTTTAGCGTCATGCAAATGCATTAATCTGATTGTCATAAAAACATTAAAACAGTGTTTTATAAAAATGTTAGTAATCGGAACTTGGAATATTAATCTGGAATTAATGGAATATTCACAGTGAATTAATGCATTATGTGAATCTCTAAACAGAAGGTGTAAAAAAATAAAGCTATATTCAGGCCAACTTGGGAATTTCCTGTGGGTTTTTAGAAATAGTTTTAAGAGTTGTTAGCTTTGGATTTATAAATTCATTTTTGTGATAAACATTACTTGAAGATATTTTTACCTTTTGTTCTACAAACACAAAGTAATGCTTCAAACAGATTTTTGAAGCCGCTGTTTAAAAAAAAAAAAAAAAAAAGTCTTTGTATTATCAGAATATTAATCATTCCAAAAATAATGTGCTTATCAGTGTTGCTGTTACGGACTGCTCAGAGACTGAGTGCGGATCCAAATGCAGTGTTTATTAGGAAAGTCCAGAATCGAAATCAGACAGCAGGCAAGGGTCAACACCAGTGTTGCCAACTGCTTTCAATTGAAAGTAGCTAAAACTGGTAGCTAAATGTCACTAGATGACATCACAATGGCAAATTCACTGATCTATATAAAGATGAACGTAGATCAGTGGGCAAGATGAGAACTTAGATAAGGTTTGTCCAAGCAGTTGCTGTATTTGTCCCTAAACTTTTGAAAAAAGTCTCAAAAGGGGCGGGGAAGTCGCTAATCTAGCTACAAAGTAGCTAAATTGGCAACACTGGTCAACACACAGGCAATCAGTCCAACTAAACAACAAGGCAGAGAACACAGGCAAAGAGTCCAAAAACCAAGATAAATATAAACAGGAGAACCGCTCAGAGATGCAGTGTAACACTTACAAGACTTCACAAAGAATGACACACTAAACCAGACTTATATAGGGTGAGCAGACAGGGTAAATGAGACACAGGTGCAAACAGTGAGTGTTGATGAGTCCGGGCAAAGGATTATGGGAAATGAAGTTTTTGATGAAGTGGTAGAAGTCTGGGATGGAGTGCCCTCTAGTGAAGCTCACGGGCACTCCAGCTAGAGAGCATGACAGTTGCAGGCTGCTTAAGGTTTATAAGTGTCAAATTTGTAATACTGAATAAGGAATCATTCCCTTTATTAGGGATGCTGGATCTAGCTTGTGTGCTAAGTTGTGTTTACTCAAGTTATTCCATTGTTACCAGGCCGTTTTACTAACCAAAGGCAAGCTTCCCTTTCACATTGGAATATATTGGATAATGATGAGGTTATAACCTCTTGTAGCCTATTATGAGCACTCCTTACAGTGTTTCATTGCAGTGTGTGAATTTGTTGTGTGTCTGTAATGTGTGTTTTTACAGGTTTTTAAATATTAAAATTTGACGTTGGTGATCTGAAAAAAGAATCTCCATGGCAGGTGAGAGCGTGTAACTTTCTTAAACCAAACTGAATTGTTAACATATTCAAGTACCATGGTATTTACATGGTACTGTAAGGTATTTCAAAGAATTGCATGGTCCTATCATGGTACATGACCAAAGTACTATGGCATGTTTTATTAGTTTTGTTGGTGAACCAGGACTTTAATTTGTGTTTTTCCCCACAGAAAACAATTTCCCTCCTCTTCCACGGTTCATTCCACTGAAACCATGTTTTTACCAAGACTTCAACGAGATCCCAGACCACCAGCGTACAATGTGCAAACGACTGTATTACCTATGGATATGTACGTTGATAAAAATATTTCAGCATTTATTATATTATTTTGTGATATTCTCAGTGCATGTAATTTTATGCTCACTGTGGTGTCTGCACTGAGTAGATTGCAATCATGTGGCTTTATTTGCCATTACAGTGTCACCTTTGTTTTCAGTGTAAACACTGAGAGAAACAGACACACAAAAACTTGTTGATCTGTCAGTCCACAAGTAAAAATGTGGGGTGTCATATTACTCTTGTGTTATTGTCCAGTTTACTATGCTATAATAAGAATCACAAGCATTAGATTTGCTTTTGCAATGTAGGATATTCACAAAAGTCCTTTTATTTATTAGCGCACTAATGGGAACTAATGGTTTGTTGAGATAAATGAAAATTTGTATTAGTATCTAAAATGAATTCTAGATTTGAGGTAGATTACTTAGCAATTAGATTTTAGTCATTGTATGTCATACATGTGCACATTTTTTGGTATCTGCCCTGTTCCAGTGACAATTTCAGTTTTCCTTGTAATGTATCCATCAAATTATGAAACAAATACAATATTTACATATAAATGATATTTAGACATTCATTATAACGAAATTAAATTAGGTTTTTTAATGAAATTCTTTCTGTTTTTTCCCCCTCACAGTGAATAGTGCCACCCTAGCAGTGAACCTGATTGGCTGTCTAGCATGGATGTGCGGAGGGGGCGGGGCAACCAATTTTGGGATGGCCATTCTGTGGCTAATACTGTTCACCCCATGCTCATACGTGTGCTGGTTTAGGCCCATCTACAAGGCCTTCAAGTGAGTTCAATTAATGATGAGCTGTGGCATTCCGAGATGTTTTAAAATAGTCTTTGAGTTGTAATCGTGTCATTGTGCACAACCCGAATGCAGTTAACTTTTTCTTTCACAGGACGGACAGTTCTTTCAACTTCATGGCATTCTTTTTTGTCTTCATGGCGCAAGTGGTGATTAGTATCATCCAGAGTGTTGGAATCCCAGGATGGGGAGTGTGGTAAGAACTGCTCATAGTGTTTAAGAAATTGGATGGATGGATGGATGGATGGATGGATGGATGGATAGATAGATAGATAGATAGATAGATAGATAAACCATTATGGTGGATTAAATAAACAACTCAACATGCTAGGTCAAAGTAACCCATGGTTGGGTGTGTCCATATTTAACCCAGCAGTGGTTTGCAAAACAACCCAAACTGGGTTATTTTCAACCCAACAGTAGTGTAGATAGATACAGCAAATCTGGGTCAGTTCCAGTTGCGTTACCCTATAGAAACTCAAATGACTCATATACTTTCTTGCGTCACATAATATTTTTAGCGCACATATATTATAGTCTGTTTAGATTTTATTAGGATGTCATGTCATATTCTGAATTTATAGTCTTTTCATGTAGTTTACTTTCTAACTACCATGTTAATGAGGAGAATATGTCTTCTTTATGTACTTGTATTACAGTGGCTGGCTGGCCACCATCACTTTTTTCAGCACTAATATTGGCTCTGCTGTTGTTATGCTGATTCCAACCATAATGTTCACCGCCGTGGCTGTTCTCTCGTTCATTGCGCTCACCAAGGTACCCGTTACTGTTCCTCCATCATTATTGTTTTGAACATACAAAGGTCTCATGATATTTCCTGAAATTCAAGCAATTACTCATTTATGCTGAGGGTAATACCTTAATATTAACAATATTGTTTTTTGTTGATTAACATTACAGTACTCTCCTACTTCTCTTTTTTTCCTGTACAGTTTTTCCTGCAGAGTTTCTGAAGAGGGTCTTGTGCTCAGATTTACTAAAAAAGTTTTAAAATGTTTAATTGAAAATGTTTAATTGTTTTTTTTATTAATATCTGCAATTTATTTATTATTGGTTGTATAAATTTTTTTACTGGCATATCAGCCACAATATGTAATTATACACAATTTAGTAACAGTATTCTTTAACAATTATTGAAATTAATATAAATTTGTATACTGTACATTATAATGTGGTCATAAGTATTTTTGCTTTAAAACATTTAACAGTGTGTTTTTTGTTATTTTAGACAAAATATTATAAAATCATGTTTTTATTATTATTTTTTATTTAATATCCTCCATTCATCGGTTATTGGTTCTATGAAAATAGTTATTGGCTTACGTATTGGCCACTATTTTTAATCTTTAAAAACACTAATAATCTAATAACAGTAATCTTTAACAGTAATGGAAATGAATAACCATTTTTATACTGTACATTATAATGTTGTGATGCCCAAATTCACTTTAAAACATCTAAAACGTTTGATTTTAGTGAGTGTTTTTATTACTATTTTACACAAAATATTATAGAATAATTTTTTTTTTATATCTGCCATTTATCAGTTATTGGTTGTATGAAATTAATTATTGGCTTACATATCAGATACTACTTTGAATCTTTAAAAACACTAGTAACAGTAGACTTTAACAAGTGTCTAGAATATTTTGGACAATTGTTATTATTATTATTATTATTAATAAATATTTGCCATTTATTGGTTCTATGAAAATAATTACTGACTTACATGTCAGCCACCTTTTAAATATCCATTATTTATAATTTTATAGCTCTATCCTCTAAATGCTGACAATTATCAAATTTTTGGTCTATTTTTCTTAGGATTCCTGAGCAAAGTAGATATTTTGTAGCAAAGTCAATGGTTAAATGAAAGCAAGTCTGTATATTGAACATCTAATATATATTCTGATTTTGTCAAACTGGATAAATTAATTGTCGCCTGGTTAGAACACGTGATCTGCTGAGCTATAAAAGGTCAACTTTTGAGCAATAAAATTGTCTTCTGTCTCAGGTTCACAACTTGTACCGTGGCAGCGGGGGCAGCATGAGCAAGGCTCAGGAAGAATGGACCACCGGCGCTTGGAAGAACCCTCACGTCCAACAGGCAGCACAGCAGGCAGCTATGGGGGCTGCGCAGGGGGCCATGCAGGGTCAACAGTACTCGGCTGCCCCAACTTACAACTATGATGAGCCAATGTAGATCCTTTTCAGCCACAATGGGGGGAGGGGACAGAAACAGGGTATTTGGAGGGGGCGTTCCAGAGGGCTAAAGTCAGTGGTTGAAATCAGAATCAGAATGAGCTTTATTGCCAGGTATGTTTACACATATGAGGAATTTGTTTTCGTGAGAAGCTTCCACAGTGTAACAGAGTGACAGTGACAGAACAAAAAACACAGATAATAAAAAATAAAAAATAGAGCAAGTAATGGGGGAAGGGAGAAAGGAAAGATATAAGACAATTTGAATTCAAACAAGTTTCCACCAGTACAACAATATATGAGCTTTTGCTTAAACTGTTTTACAAGTGTGTGATAGTTTAAGGAGTTGCTTTCGGTATTTAGAACCACTCAATAGGAAAATATCAGTCTTGCCATGTGGTATTACGGCAGATTTAATGTAGTGTTTCTCCACTTATCGTGTTTCAAACATGGCTGAACTAGAGCACCAGTAAGGAAACATTCCAAAGCTCACTATGTTTCTATAGTAACTAGATTCTCAGATTCGTCTGTGTGGTATTTGCAAGCCAGTTCTATGTTTTGTTTGGCTGTTAGTATTCAAGAACACATTTCCACTATTTAGCAAACGCATCTTTACTCTCACGTCTTACAAATAAACGTACGTTTTATGCACTAAGAGAAGAAATTATCAGCTTTTGGAAGTAAATTGACTGGTATTTACTTGATCTTGCAGTTGAAAAAGTATAAACCCAGTTAACAGGGAACGTTCTGAGAACTTTGGCAATGTTCTCTCAAAGTTATGAACAAACGTTCTTCTAGTAACGTTCAATGTTCGTTCAAAGTTATCTGGTCTTTAATAATGTTCTCGAATGTTAGCACAGTGTTATTCATACACCATTCATGAAACGTTTTTTCTTCTAAAACGTTTTAGTTGGACATTCGTCTAACGTTTTTTAAATATTACTAATTGTTTCAGAATATTCAGGGAGCACATTCCCATAATGTTTGCAAAATGTTCCGTTTTGTCTAACTAAGAAACGTTTTCACAACTTAATGGGAACGTTAGCAAAACGTTCTTAGAACATATTTTTGTTTGCTGGGAAGTTTATAAACATTACATTGTTTCTGTTGAGCACTTTACATCAAGTGCAAGTACAAAGAAAGTTTGTTTTCATTTTTTGTGAAGGTACAAGGAAAGCCATATGTTTATGTTGTTTTAGTTCGTGTGTAATCGCATCGTATTTTCGTTTGCGTTAAAGGTTGTTGACATTTTAGTGAATGCAGTTGTGTTTATTAACATTGTTTTCTTTACCTCAGGATTTAATCGTCTCATTTTACTGCTGATGTACTGTAGCTGAGGTTCGGCTAACGAAATTGATTGGACGAAATATTTGTACATGTACATGTTGTACGTTTGTACAATAATTGATTTAAACGCTCTCGAATAGAGTATGTATTTAATCTGCTCTTAGCTACAGACTTGTTATATATTTCAATCCATTATGATCTGAATCTGCGATGAAGGCTGATATTTTTTTTTTTTAAATTTTTTTTTATGCATTTAGCAGACGCTTTTATCCAAAGCAACTTACAGTACATTCAGGCTATACATTTTTTACCAGTATGTTTTAATGTTCTCATTGTCACAGAAATCGTATCTGTTGGTTTGCGTATAATCTCAGATTGAATTTCAGTAATTTCTGCAAAATATGGCTTCATGGTGGTTTATTCCTCACTGGTTTAAACCCTACAAGTAAAGCATATTATGAAGTAATATTGTCTCAAGTACAGTATACAGTATGGTATCATATTAGTTATTAATTACTCTCATAGTGATGTACTGTAGTCCTTTGCATCTCCCCAACATTATGTCCATGTCTAACCATTTTTCTTTACATTTTCTGAAAATATTTTCTCTATTATGCATCGACAAGCAATTTCTGTGTGAAATTCCTGAATTACAGATATCTAGAGATTATTTAAACTCTTTCAGACCTGAAAATTGTGGATTTGTTATATACAGTAGAGAATTTATTTAGATTTGTTGTTCCAATTCAACGGAATTTACAGTCTGAGGAGCTAGTGATGAATAGATGCTTGACTGTGAAACTGGGTCAGTTATATGAAAATAGAGTATGAAATAGTTTAAAATAATAGTGTACAATATATGTAATATGTCATCTCAATGTCTGTATCAAGGCTTGTAAAATACTTGCAATCATTTCAAGAACTGTGAAACATCAATTCGCCCATGTGTGATACTATTCATGTATGTTTGGGGAGTTTTTCTATGTGCTTTTTTGTTTCTGTAAAGATCTTTTTGTTGAAATTTCGATAATGTGTGTATTTGGATGTTTTTGAATGTAGCTTGTTCCACAATGTGATGTTTAGTACACTATTGTGGGCCTTGGTAAGACAGGACTTCCTGTGCAAAGCTTTGGCTGAGGTTTCATCCCTAACGGACACCCATAGTCCTCTTGTGCCCTCAAGTGGACTGGATGTGTAAAATTTACCTGTTTGTTTTCTGGCAGTAGCCTAATAAGAAAACATTGACAGAAGCAATATCGGTTTCTGTCATGCATGATTTGATCACATCAACAAGTGTGAATGTTATATTTCAGCCGCACCAGCAAAAGCTAAGGTCACTGTCCTTTCCAAGTCCCGCCATGTTTTTTTTGTGCCCTGATCTTCATGCCTGTGTATCCCAACAGTAGATAAAGCCTTGTTCATACTGTAAAGTTAAATGAGTGGAAAGATGCCAGTAGAGAAACAGATAGTGGTCTTTGTATAGTGAGTTGTGTGTGGTGCTTGGTAAATTTGTGAATTGGAACCAAACCTTGTGCCATGTGTACAAAGGCACTCTGTATGTGTGTAGATGTTAATTATTTTGTCAAGTCTAAAGTGGAATGTATTGTTGACTTGGAGACAAGAACTACTGTCCAGTACATTTTACAGGTTTCCATTTTTATTTACTTCTCTTTTTATTTATTTATTTTTTTCCTTGAATTATAAGAGTCAAACATTTAAATTACTTTGTACTAATATCAATTTAGCCATATTTTTTCCCCTCAGCTACTATATTTAGTGTACTTAATTTGTATTTAATGCAATGTAAACCTTAACATGTTAGGTTTCTTGAGAAAAGCTATACTTAAAAATCAATCAATCATGCAAACATGAAGCTCAATAGTTGTGATTTCTAAAGGTGGTTGTTTTTGAAGTTTGAGATGAATTGTTTTTTGGGTCATTTTGTATTACTTTTATATTATTTTGTCTCTCCCTGATGGATAATAAACATCTAGGCCTGGTTTCACAGACAGGGCTTAGGTTAAGCCAGGATTAGGCCATAGTTCAATTAGGACATTTAAGTATATTTGATAAGTGTGCCTTAGAAAAAACATGACTGGTGTGCATCTTGAGACAAATCAATAGTACCAACATATTTTAAGATATGTCAGTGCAAGTTTCTTACAGTTAAAACAGAACAGACATGCACACATGCATTTTAGTCTGGGACTAGGCTTAAGCCTTGTCTGTGAAACTGGGGAATAATGTTGCATTCTGTGTCCAAGTCCATTCAGGGTCATTAAACTTTAATAGTCTACTAAAACTAAAATCAAACCCACATTACTTACGTTATTTAAAAAAAAAAAAATTAAAAA